TACATTTTATTACGAAAATATTCATACAGCAAAATTGAAAGAATAGTATAGTCAATACTCATATACCCAAGAAACTCAGCTTTTATCCTTCACCTTGTGCTGTGTCGCCTCTGTACCAGTGTCCCTCCTCCCCCCATCCTTCCGTGAAGGCATTTTGAAGTAAGGTGCAGACATCCTACACTCTCCCCCAGGACTTCGCTGCATGTCATTAACTAGAGTTCAACATTTTTTTTTCTTGAGATAACTTGTGCATGCAGTGAAATGCAGGAACAGTAGTATGCCTCTGGATGAGTTATAAGATGATGCTAACCTGAAAATAAAAGGCCTTTCCAAGTGAGAGGCAGCAGCATTTAGTTGAGACCAATAAGGATAGTCATTGGTAGATGTACTAATTCAGGCAGAAACCCAGATCTTGCCCCAGTTAGGAGACAAAAGCAATGGGTATTTATGAGAAAGGGAAGGGGGACAATTACATCAGTAGAAGGAAGGCTGTTGGTGCAGATAACATAATATGGTGACATTAATTCTAAACTGGATTTTTTTTTAATCCTCACCCGAGGATATTTTTTCTATTAATTTTTTTTTTAAGAGAGAGTGGAAGGGAGGGAGAGGAGGGGGCGAGAGAGAAACATTGATGTGAAAGAGACACATCAATTGGCTGTTGTTCTAACCACTGAACCAAACCAGCCAGGGCTAAATAGTATTTTTAATTTTTAGTCCAATAGTTATAAGTATGTGCTTTCTTGTTCTCTTTACAAATAGCTTTTTGAAAAACAAGGTTGCTCGGGCCCAGTTCAAAGGTTATTTTGCCCTGTTCTAACATGCCAGAGATTTGGGAATGAAAACATGCAAGGCAGTTCCTCTGGCGTGGCAGCTCCAGCTCCATGTTGAAGTGGCTCCATTTAGATTATTGGTTACAGGTCCGTTCGTGTTTTAGGGTATATATTTGTGGCTGATTAGTGTTGCATTGTATGACTACGTTTGTCTGTCCATGCTATACATGGACATCTGGACTGTTTTCAGCTTTTGGCATATTAAAATAAACTTGCTATGAACACTCCTGTACAAGTCTTCCTGTGGACGTATGTTCTAATTTTTCCTGGGTGAACTATCTAAGAGTGGAATTGCTGAGTCATCGGGTAGACATATATGTTGTTTTATGAGGAAGTGCCAGCTCTATTTTTCAAGTGGGGGAACCAATTTGTACTCCCAGCAAAACTTATGAGAGTCCCCACTTGCTCTGCAGCCTTGCCAACATTTAGGATTGTCCGTCTTTAATTTTAGCCATTCTGATGGTAATGAAGTGGTATTTTATCATGATTTTAAGTTGCAGTTCCTGGTGATTAATGAGTTTGTGCAGAGCTCTTTTCAAAGTGTGTGTTTGTTTTAGGGGATAGGGTGGGGTATTAGCAGCTGCCTGATGTCATACTGGAAATGTTTCATTTATCACACGATCTTGGTGTGGGGTTTGACCCCTCCCTGGAGCAACAGTGCTGGGAGGGTCCCCAGCGCTGCTCCTGGATTGCAGCCAGCTTCTTCCCTGTGTGCCCAGAACATACCCCTCTCTGAGGGACTGGTGGGACTGGCCAGGGGCCAAAGCCCTGGCATTTATCAAGTGGGCCTGGCATTGCTGTGGTCTTAGCTTCCACAGGGAGTGTCTGCTGCTGAGCTGCTGGCCTCAGCTGGCTAGTGGTCCATGGTATCGGACCCTGTGGCTCACCTCCTGAGGGTATGCTCAGGTCACCTTTTCTGAAAGACCCCCGTGGGTACAACCATGTGTGATGTTTTCATATACCTCTTGCTGCCCTGCTGCACCAGGGCTCAGTAACTACTCTGTCCCTGGAGGCTTGGTGCCCAGAGAGGACCTTGTGCATCACTCACTAGCACCCTCCCTGCCCTCCTGGCTGATTTGTTGTTTTTTCCCCCACAGTTTGCTCCCAGAACACAAACAAGACCTGTGAGGAGTGCCTGAAAAATGTCTCCGTAAGTAGCACGTGACTGGAAGCAGGCCCACTTTTGCTAACAGGGGTGACCCTGGTGTGTGTTAAGGGATCAGAGGGTGGGGATGTGGGAGATTTTTGTGATGGATATTAAGTATTACTTTATCCCTTCTCAGGCATCTCCAGCTGTCCCATGGGGACTGCAGATGCCACCTGAGCATCATTAATAGGCATATTTCACTCCCAAAACAGGTATGGGGTCATAAAAGGTGTGCACCAGGCCTGTGGTGGGAGCATGCGTGGCTGGTGGGGAAGCCTCAGACCCCCCTGAGGTGGTGGTGAGCGTTGGTGCACAGTGCTGTTCAGACAGGGATTGTGGGGACAGAGGAGCAGATGGATGAGAGCTGGGCAGAGGGGTCAACCGGTGACTGTTAACCTGTGACCAGGGCCTCATGTTGGTGTCATTAGACCATAGAGGCCCAAAGCCCTGGTCATCCACCGCTGAGGGGTCAGAGGAACATGAGCCGCCTGTAAACCTCTAGCCAGAGTCCTAGCTCCCTGTGTCCCGTGTCTCCACCAGTGCCAGGGAGATGCTTCTCTCCCAGCTCTTCACACAGGAGTGGAGAAGAGAGGCGAGAGCCAGGGGGACACAGGCGCCAGGTCAAGGGGGGAGTTGGGGGCGTCTGGTCAGTGGGTCAGCCTGTTCACAGCTCACTAGTCAGGATGTGAGCCTCGCAGCCAGGATGTTCCAGTGTCCCTGGTTCTTGCAAGTCCCTGTGTGACCTTGAGCAAGAGGGTAGCTGCTCCTGGCATCTAACACATGGGTGTGTGCAGCAGGCCATCGGGGAGAAGGAGAGAGTCACATGTGCCGCTGGGGAAACCTCCCGCCGTATCTGGCCGTCACAGGGCTTGTGGGAACAGTGCTGCTTTGTTAGGGTCCAGTTGCCGCTCCTCAGGCATTGACTTCCTGGGCAGCTCCCGATCCAGCAGCCTGAGTGTCTGGCTCCGTTTCACCGCAGCGCTGTGTGGTCAGCACCGAGGACCCGAGAGAAGCTGACCCGGGGTAGGGATGGCTGGGAGAAAAAACGCCCTTTGTGGGGCCGTGGCCTAGGGCCCTGGGGGAGCTGCCTCCCCGCTGTGGCCGGGTCCTTCTGGTGTTGGAACTACACAGCCTATGTTTCCCTTTCCTTCACATTAGGGTTTAATGACCAAGGGCGGGTCAGGAAAGATGTATCAGATGATTCCCACTTCAAGACGTGGGGCCATGTTTTTACAAAAATATGGCAGGGTCTTGGGCCCCAAGCACATCTGTGAGTTATAGGACTTACCTCTGCCGGTTACACCGAAAGGAGCTCGTACTGCAGTTTCAGGTCTTATCGTTGACAACGCTGAACCAGATCGGGGGGCTCTGGTCCTCAGGGTGGCATTTTCTTGATGTTGCTTGTTTTCAGTGTCTGGGTTTTTCTATTGAAGTCATTTCAGCCGTAAAAATGGCTTAGAGTCTATGTGGCTTTGCAGTTCCCAGAGCACCTGTGCAGCACTGTCCTGTTCAGCTCTCCCCGCTCTGGGAAGGACATTGGGAGGTGCAGGTGAGGGACATGTTCAGATCACAGTGGGGAGGGCACTTCATCTGAAGTCCTGACCCCCATCTGAACCCAGACAGATCAAGTCAGAGCTGCGGGCCACACGTGCAGGTGGGTGAAAGCCGGGGTCGGCCGTGTGTGTGTGTGTGTGTGTGTGTGTGTGTGTGTGGGTCCAGGGGTGCCCAAAAGTCTCTGAAAGGATGGGCGGTGCCTCGGGGGCCTGAAGAGCCTGAGCAGGTTAGAGGGAGGCCGAGGGCACGCTCTGTGTCCTGTTGGTGTCACTCAAATTGTTTACCACGAACATACTCCTTCACTCATGTAACAACAACACCACAGAAGAGAACTTACCCTCCTAGTGAACATCTATGGCTTTTGGAAAATCATCATATAAAATTGGAAAATTAGACATTTAAAACTTAAGCTTTTTGAAAATGGAAGATTTACCAAACATTGTTAAACCAGAACAAAACCACTAAAATGCAAGATATTCTCAAACAACCAAAATAAAAAGGGTTTTTCCCGTTTATTAAGTATGCTCAACCATTTTAAACACAACACAGTAAAGTGGATGCTATGTAAAGAGACCTGGGGAGCCTTTGTTTTAATATATTTTGCAGTAGACATTCATCCTAACCTGGGACCAAAAAAACCCCCCCAAAAAAACCAAAACCATAACTTTCCATCCTATTAAAATCTCAAAGGAAAAAGAACGCCAGAAAACTGTTACCTTTAAGATCTAAAATAAGAAGCCAAGTTCTTCCTGTGCAGGCACAATCTGCAGCCTAAGCCCCACTTCCTTTGTTGCCAACGCCCACAGTGCCAGCTCCAGACTCCCCCGCACACACGCCCTGGGTGAAGGCGCTGTCCCTGCCCCAGACCGCCTCTCCCCTGACACTGTAGGGACTTGGGGGCATCTGTGAGGCTCCAGTAGGTGCCGTTGAGCCTTGGTTGTACTATCTATAAGGCGGCTGGAGGAAATACTCACCTGCTGCTCTTGTAGAGGTCAGAGGTAGGATCACGGCCACAGAAGACCACTAACATACTGAGCTCCTGCCATGGGCCAGCCTTGGTCTGCCTGCGAGGGATCCTTCAGTGGTGCACATGGATGCCTATCCTCCTGATGATGGGCCACGATAGGCAGCTTGAGTGTGTCAGGAGGCGATGTGCCAGCAGGGGCGGGGGCAAGGGGGCAGTTTTAAGTAGGTTGCCCAGGTTAGGCCTCATGGAGGAGGTTAGAGAGCCACATGCGTCTGGGAGGAATGTTCCAGGCAGAAGGAGCAGCCCATGTAAAGGCCCTGGGCGGGGTGAGCTGCCTGGCATCTTTCATGACAACACAGAGGCTGTGTGGCTGTTCAAGGTGCCTAATGGAAGTGGTTTGAGTGACATGGTTCTTGGTGGGCAGTTGAACCTCTGTGATGGGGTGAGAGCCCAGGCCGTTACCGTCCTCCGAGGGTGAGCAGACCAGGTGGCTGATGGTTTAGGGAATCAGGTCCTGGACCGTCTGGTTCTTTGGTGTTTACGTTGAATTTCTAACATTTAATGTTTATCTCTCTCAGTGTCTTTGGTGCAACACGGATAAAACATGCGTGGACTATCCAGTGGCAAAAATCTTGCCCCCTGCTTCTCTTTGTAAGCTGAGCTCTGCACGCTGGGGCGTTTGTTGGGGTAAGTGGTCATTTTACAAAATTGGCTTCTTGGTTGTGCTCATGAACATAAGCTGCCAGAAAATGTATTCCCAGTAGTTCTGTGATGTTCCCAGTGGGAAGTTGGGGAGCCATTGAGAGCTTGTGGTGTCTCAACTGGGGGGTCCTTGCAGATCTGGAGGCCCCCTTCAGGCCTCAGCCTTGGCACTGGGTCTCCACACCATTGGGGGTGGCGAATTGAAGGCTGCTTTTTGGATGGCTCAGCACCTTATGTCTTGGTGATGTTCGTGGGCCACTTTGACCCCTGTGGTTCCTGTAGGGACTCTGACTTCCCAAGCAAGGAATCCCTGCTCAGCATGGGCATGTGTCCCATCGTCTCCATGTGGTTGTTACAGGTATTCTGTCATCAGAAATTAGCCCTTTGTGAGATTCAACTTTTCTAGTTTACTTTTATGTATATACTTATTTTTTTAGAGAGGGAGAAAGGGAGAGAGAAGGGGAGAAACATCAATGTGAGAGAGACACATCCATCAGTTGCCACCCATATGCACCCTGACTGGGATCAAACCTGCAACCTAGGCATGTGCCCCAACCAGGAATCAAACCCACGACTTTCTGGTGCACAGGACGACACTCCAACCAACTGAGTCACACCAGCCAGGGCTCTAGTCTGCTTTAAATATATATATATATATCATTGTGACCTCCTGGTTCATGGGTCATCGTTCAACCACTGAGCCATACTGGACGGACTCTAGTGTGCTTTTATTTATTTATTTATTTATATTTTTTTCTAGTTTGCTTTTAAATTAGTTGCTGGTATATGTTGCTACACAGAACTCATTTTTATGTGGTTGGGTTTATTAATCCTTTCTTTTTATGGCTTCAGGTTTGGGGTCAAACAGAGACCACCTTCTTTCTATCTATCTGTCTATCTACTTACTTTTAAATTGGTTTTAGAGAGAGAGAAAGAAACACTGATGTGAGAGAGAAACATCAATGGGTTGCCTTTAATACATGCCCTGACAGGGGATTGAATTCACAACCTGGGCCTGTGTCCTGACCAGGAATCGAACTGGCAACCTTTTGGTGCACTGTACACACTCAACCAACTGAGCTACACAGGCGACGGCGAGGCCACTGTCTTAAGCTGCATAAAGGAGCTGTTGTTTTCTTAGGGCACTTTGATACTTCACTTGGTGTGTCTGCAGCTTATTCCTAATTTATCTGTCTTTTTTATAATTGAATTCCATTTTAGAATCCATCAGCCTCCATTAGAAATACTCACTTGTAGTGCTGAGGCCCAGGGAATCCAGGAGTGTGTGTGTGTGTGTGTGTGTGTGTGTGTGTGTGTGTGTGGTTGAGGGGCCTACTGTGTGGGCGTACACGCGTGTGCATGTGCCCACATACCCTTTGTCATTTCCACCCAGTTGACCATTCTCTCTGCTGTCCTCGTACCAGAAAGGCTTCACTGGGCCTCACTGCCCTCTGCTTCCGTCCTGTCCACTGTCTTCTCCATGGAACCGGTCCTTGCTCACTGTTTCACAAAGACCACTCCTGGGCCAGGGGACCCTGGGCATGTTGAGCATGAGCTGTTTAAATTGAAGTTTAACTTCTATTGGGGTGCACACATCTTCAGTCTCCCTCTATAGACTACAGTCTACAACATAAACACACATATATACACACACATATATCTACTCAGTAAACGTTTACGTGAGTACATAGCTGATTCCCCCCTTAGCAAAATATACAGACCATTTCTGGCACCCACAGCTGTTAATGCCAGGACTCCGCGGGTAACTGCTGGACTGACTTGCCATCAGCATAGGTAGTGCTGCCTGTCCCTGCCCTTCACATAAAGGAGGTCCTGTGCTGCCTCACCTGACTTCACCCCGTAGTATGTATGCCTGAGGCCCTTCCTTGTGTGTTGTGTGTGCCGGTTTGTCTCCGACTTCGGGCAGTGTTCACAGGTGTGCCTCCATTCTGCTGCTGAAGGACATTTGGGCATTTCCGGTGCTGCTGCGGTCTTGTGTTAAATGTGTGCCAGCCCTCCCTCCGCAGGGCAAATATGTAGGCGTAGAATTGCTGCCTCACCACGTGTTCATCCTTAGTAGGGCTGCAGGCATTTTTCCAGAGTGGTGTACCAGCTCATGCTCCTCCAAGCAATGTGGGGCTTCCAGTTGTTCCACGTCCCTGCCAGTGCTTGGGCACTCATCATCCTCGGTGTGGTCCATCTGGTGGGTGTGAGTGGATCTCACCGTGGTTTTCATGTGCATTTCTCTGAAGGCTAATGATGATGAGCTCCTTTCCAGGTGGAGGGCAGTTTTGGTAATTCTCTTGTGAAATGAAAGTCCCTGCCAAGGGTTTACAGGGATGGTCAAACCCGACACTGGACAGACGAGATCCATGGCAGTTTATTCATCACCTGTAGTCACAGCCCTTGGGGAGGGGATACTGGATGAATTAGGGGCTGTGGGAGGAGGCTTTGCAGTAACAAGAGGGTGTGGTGCCTGGGTCAGAGAGAAGATGTGATTGCTTGAGCAATTCCAAGGGCTGACAGGGAAATGACACCTGCACCTGGTTCCCAGAGTAAGGACGGTGGTTTGGCTGGGGGCCTCGCCTGCGGGAGTAAGTGGGGAGGGGAACTTGCTGGGCCACTCAAGGCCCTCCTGGTTTCACCAGACACCAGGGTACACTTAACACTAATGTTAGGCCTATACCACAGGTGGGTTTTTGGTTTTTTCCCCCCTCACCAGAAGATATGTTTGTTGATTTTGGAGAGAGAGAGAAACGTCGACCGGCTGCCTCTTGCACCTGCCCCAACTGGGGATTGAACCCGCAACCCAGACATGTGCCCTGACCAGGAATTGAGTCCACCACCTTTTGGTGTACAGGACGACGCTCAAACCAACTGAGTCACCCAGCCAGGGCCACCACAGGTGTGTTTTTGTTTGTTTGTTTGTTTGTTAATCCTCACCCGAGGATATTTTCTCCATTGCTCTTCAGAGAGAGTGGAAAGAGGAGAGACAGAGGAAGGGGGGAGAGAAACATCGATGTGAGAGAGACACATTGATTGGTTGCCTCCCGAATGCTCTAACCACTGACCCATGCCGGCCAGGGCACAGGCCCTTTTTACTCTTACAATTTAGAATCCTTTTATCCAGTTTAGGCAAAAATGTTTTGGAGTTTTAATTATAATAACCTTAAAAATATAAGTGTGCCTGGAGAAAAATGAGGACTTTGCCATTTTGAAATTTTTTCCAGAAGCAAGATGTCACTCCATCATCAGGGTCACCCGGGGTCGTTTTTATGTCCTTTGGTAGAGTGTCATAGATTGCCATACAGGATAACAGGGAAAGGGCTCATAGTTTTGCTTCCTATTATGATGTGATTTCTGTTTTTATTTTATGACTGGTTTTAGCTGCTAAGCAGGGAAGCTCTTTTGGGGGTAGATATATTTCAGAGCCAGTTACCTAATTGATCTCCGTCATTTTTAAAGTTGATGGTTGTAGAGTTCTCGAGTCAGAAACGACACCATCTGCTAGTGAAGGTCTCTTTCTAGTTACACCACTATTGCAACTCCAGCGCTTCTAGAGCAGGCCAAGGAAGGAGCGAATACGGTTATTGCTCAGAAGGACTTGGTCAGATGTCACACTGTTCCTGATTGTAAAATGATTGGGCAAACCCTAAGTGAGTGCTATTCTGCTGGGAGCCAATCTGAATGTGAGGTGGGTCCATACCGGCAAAGAGCCCTCCACTCGCCTCCCCGTCCCCAGGGCAGAACACTCACCATCCAAGCCCCACCCGGACCACAAGTGAGATTAGAGATCATCTGCTTCCTGTCATGGCATTTTAACCTCATTTTCAGAAGCAGCTGGAGCTGGTATGGGGTATGCAAAGCATGGAACCCACTGTTGGCCAGGTGGCTCTTCGAGCCTCTTCAATGGCTGGTGGGTTTTTTTGTTTTAAGATTTTATTAAATTAATTTGTTTAGAGACAGAGAGAAACATGGATGCGAGAGTAAAACATCAGAAGGCTGCCTCCTGCACGCCCCCACTGGGAATCGAGCCCAAAACCCTTTGGTGCAAGACATGACACCCAACCAACTGAGCCACACTGGCCAGGGCTTCAGTGGCTGTTTTAACTGGATGATTAAAAAACACATTCAGGCCGATGCAAGAGGCAGCTGATGGATGTTTCTCTCTCATCGGTGTTTCTAACTCTCTATCCCTCTCTCTTCCTCTCTGTAAAAAATCAATAAAATATATATTTTTTAAAAAACACATTCACAAAAGAAGTATTAGAGTTCAGATGGAATAAAAAAATAGTGACTGGTTTTAATTTATAAATCCTTAAGAGGAGCTGAAAAGAATGTAAAACTTGTGTTAAGTTTGTCTTTGTCTCAGAAGTTTGGTCTGGACAGAAAGTCATAAACTCATTGACACTGATCGGAAGCCATTTTCAAACCCCTGGGGAAGATCCCCTGTCCTTCTGCTTGCCGTGGTCAGAATTTAGTTCCTGTGCAAAATAAATGTGTTGCTTTTGACTTTGACTTCAGTAATTAAATGGGCTGTATTGGGCTTAAATTTTCTTTCAGGAAAGTCCAAATACACAGCTGAGTATTCTCTTCCTTCCTGGTTTTAACTTTCCTCGGTCTTAAAACATCTTTTCAGTATCTGGTGGTGGACCCCAAAACTTGGATCAATCCTGATTAATGGAGAAATTGTTAGATGGCACAGCTGTGTACTAAGAAAGGCCTGCTCCGCAGGCGTGGGTCTCACTCTGACATAGCTCCCCCTCCAGGAGGGGGTGTTGCTCCCCGGGGTTTCCTGCTCCAAGCAGCTCTGACTTGGCCTTGACTTGGCCGCTTTGCACTTACAGTGAACTTTGAGGCGTTGATTATCGCCATGTCGGTGGTTGGGGGCCTCATCCTCCTGGCGGTTGCCACATGCTGCTGCTACTGCTGCTACTGCAGAAAGAAGAAGAGCCGGAAGCCAGACAAAAGCGAGGAGAAGGCCATGAGGGAGCAAGAAGAGAGGAGAATACGGCAGGAAGAAAGGTGAGGCCACAGACTCATTCCCAGGTGATTCTAATGTGCAGCCAAGGTTGAGAACCACTGCTTTAAGGGCACTCAGATCAGGAAAGTGACATTGATAAGTCACAAGTCTTCTCCATTTTTAAAAGCTATGAACATGTAGTGTTTGTGGGTTTTCTAGGTTGTGGTACAAAGAGTGAAAAGCTACATATGCAGGGACCTAGCCAGGGACCACGACCTTCCTTGTCATAGGCCTGCTGCTTCCCTGTCCGTTTCCTCCAGTCGGTGACATCAGGGTTGCAGCTGGAGGTTGCAGCTGGCGGAGCCTTCCTGCTTACAGTCATGATAGTGGGTTCTCATGCTGCAGGGGCAGGAGCCTTTGAAGGCAGTTTTTCAATCTTCATTTGCAAGCAGACCAAGGCTCAGAGAGGGAGGAAAGCCTTTGATCTGGTCACTTGTCTCAAGCCCCTGGCCGAATCGGCCTTGTGCCACCAGTGCTGACCAGCACTTTCCTGGTTACAGAGCATTTGGCAGGTGTGTGTGTGCAGCCCTTGGCCACTCCCTGCCTGATTAGGAACGAGGAGCTCACGTGTCAGGAAGGCAGCCAATAAGGCCTAGGGCTCCAGGTCTCCAGGTCATCACCCTGAAGTCATGGGCCTAAATAAAAACTAGCTTTTGCATGTTCCTAATCATCTTTAGAACCTAGCATGAGGTTTTTACTGAATACTACCTTTTCTTTATATGAGAAAACAATTTTTAAAAAAAATCAGTATTGGACATTTGAAGTGCATTTATTGAAATAAAGAATTGAATAGCATGATATTGGAGCAGCTCAGACGGCTGTGCTCAGCTTCACCTTGCCTGTCCCAGTGGGAGTGTGGCCTGATGGCCCAGCCCAGCCCCGCCCTGCTCTCCTTCTGGAAAACGAGAACAAACCACAGCTTCTCTGCTGGGGGAAGTGGAAGGCGCTTCTTTTAAAGTTACATTGTATGTTGATGCTAAACAAGGTTTTGTTTGTTTTTTAGGAGGGCAGAGATGAAGTCAAGGCATGATGAAATCAGGAAAAAATACGGTAAGAACCGACTGAATCTCTGCTTCAGTTGGCGAGAAATTGCTGCCAAGCCCTCTTGGTCATTGTTGACGTCCGTGAGGTCTAACTGTAGGTATGGGGACAGAAAGACGTCTCTACTCTCCAAGTGGTGCTGTTATAACTAATTCCATGCAATGCCTTAAAAGATGAATATTTTTATCTCAGCCAAACTGCTCCAGGAATACTTGGCTTATGAAGTGTGGGCCGTCACAGGGGTCTGCTGTAGCCCCTTTCCTGGTCTGCCATCTTGTTTGCCTTAAAGGTCTGCTGGGGGGCGGGGGGGACATGGAGGGGGTGAGTCTGGTCTCCTCTGTGCCTTCCCTCCACCCTGGGGTCTCCCGACTCCTGTGTGTGGAGCTGCATTCCTTCTTTAAGGCATCAGCCAAAACGGAGGCCATGCTGTCCTTTTCCTGTTTCGGGGTGTTTTGTCCTGGGTTTGTTTGGGTTTTTGTTTGGAGAGATTGGGGGGCAGGTGGTGAGGCTATTTTTTAGTGTTGGAGAACATTAGGTCAGCTCCTGTGTTTAGTTGGTTCACACCCGTGGACAACATGAGTGTTGATGCTCTTGCTCAGTGATGGCTCCCTGTTGTTGGAAATGAGAGAAGTGGACTTGCTTGGCCTGTCCTGAGGCCAGGCCCTCACTGTTGACAGCCCTGGGACCTCTAGCCTTGAGCCACTCTGCCTCTCTTAACCTTGTGACCTGGGGATTCGGTTAAGTGGACCAAGCAGCTGAGCTAAATCCTAAATCCGACCAGGAACATGTCAACATCTTATCCAACTAATGCACTTATTTTGAAGTCCTCAGTGTGTATAAGGAAATACTGTGTTGTGGTGGAATATTAGGATCCTACTCACTAAAGTAGTAAATCCTCAAGGCTCAGTTCTCTGACAAGGGCTGCTGGTAGTCTGGGCTGTGCACGCTGGTTCAGCCGGCCCACAGGCTGGATGTCCTACTCACTGTCTCTGTGCCTCCTGAAGGACACCAGTGTGCGCTGTGCATCCTGCCCTGCCTCAGGCTGGGGTTGGCCTTGGTGGCCTCCAAGTGTTGGTTCCAGGCATGAGGCTGCTGCCCCTCCTCTTGCCGCTCGGTCTCTGTTTAAGATGAGCGGTCCGATGGCTAGTAGAGCCTTTTTTTGTGTATTCCCACCCCTTGACCTCCTCTGGGTGCTGCTGCATAGGCCTTCAGAATTATGTGAGGTCAGAGCCACCAATCTCTCTGCCACCTGGCCACCATGCTCTTCCCGCCCACAGCACAAATCCCAGTGTTGGGCCTTGTCCTGGGACAGGTGATGATGGGCTCCTGTGTGGGTGCAATTCCCTTGTCCAGTGGCGTCAGCACACTCCCCACTCGCCCCTCGTGCCTCTGCCTGGGTGCGTCCCCATGCCCACTGAACGGCAGTGTACACTCCTGTGACTGGGGACAGCTTGATTTTCCATGAAAGTGAGGAGCCTCGAAAGGAGCTTTGACATCTGGTTAATATTAATGTAAATAGCCCTAGCCCCAGTGCAGGCGAAACCCAGGTCTTGTTTTAGAAGGCATTTGCTTTCCGTAGCACGGAACAGTTTTCCTTCTGAACCAGAAGTAGAGCTGGGAACTGTTTCTTTTCCTTAGACTGCTTGTACTTGGCATTTGACATGATAGTTCTTTATCAAATCTGTGCACTTTCTCCCCAAGGCCTGAGGCTCCCCTCTTCCTCTGACACGAGCACTATGTTGCATCCCCTGCCTCTCTCTCCCTTCTTATCTCGTCCCCACCCCTGCCCTAAAAAACCCTGCTGTAAGCAAGTGTGTTGCAATGGTCCTAGATAATTTCAGTGTATAGTACAGGTTCTTACCGAGAGAGAGTCTGTGTGTGTTTCCACCTGCAAAGAGAACACTCCTAGTCTGGGTATTTATTTAGCACTTTAGATTCTACTAGTTCTGTAAATGCTTGACAGTTTAATTGATGATGACCTTCTTAGTTCTTTTTACAGCCTTAATTTTAAAAGTTAATCCACATTTATAAGGACATTTAAAGGAAGGTGCTTTATTTATTTATTTATTTTGTTCTGTATAATATTAGCTAACCACTAATATGGGGGAAGAAATACTGGCTTTAAATTTCTTTTCTTTTTTCTGTGTGTGCACTCCAGTTTTCTCCTTTATTTTTAAATTTATTTATTGTTTCTATTTAATTTATTTTTTCCCCCTGGCTTTAAATTTCTTAACTTCTCTTTGAGCAAGTAAGTCTTTCTTTCTTGGGGTCTGTTTTTTTTAAAATTATTGGTTTGGGCACATTTTATTTCAGTGTTAAAGTCACTGTATTTGGACTTTCAGAAAAGGTTTAGCATAGTATTCAAACCTGTGTAGGATCCCCATTTTCCTATTGGCCTCAGTAAACCTCCTTAGAAAGCTTAGTTGTATTGCTGTCTTGAATTTTGTTGTTGCCTAGATGCACTTGTAACCAAGTCCATTTTGTTTGCAGGTTTGTTTAAAGAAGAAAACCCATATGCTAGATTTGAAAACTAAAACACACTCCTGCCGTGTCAAGTCCCAAAGGCGCTCCTAGGGACAGCAGTCTGCAGGCCTGGCCGCCCCCATCCTGCCTGCTGACCTTGATGAAGTGAGCGTGACGCAGCTGCCCTGAATGCTGTCCGTTCTTGTGAGCTTCTGTACCCTTTCCTGATTCTGTATTTAGTCACCTGAAATGTTAAGCCTGTGCAGGTGGGGGAAGGCTGCTTTTGTTTTTGTTGTTAATTTGAGGAGGAATCGTGCACATTCCACATCTCAGTTTGTAAGCTCATTGCACACCAACAGCCGCAACACTAACGCCATCCTCCTGCTGCAGCGGCGCGAACCTTCTTCACATCCACCCACTAACAGCTCCACACAGCAGCCGGGGAGTCTTCTCTGCCTGTGACGTGGGAGGATCTGCCAGTCCCTCGTCGTTTCCCCCTAAAGCCACAGGTGTGGGCCTCAAGTCCCTGTTGCCCCGTCTCCCAAATGTCAATTCTGGTGGCTTTCCGCATCCAGGACACAGTGTCAGGGGCCCTACTTCCTAGGCTGTAGTTGCAGTGAAAAACATTGAGAGTGAATGCATTGAAAACCTTTTTTAAAAAATCCTAGATTTATTTCCCCACCTAAAAGATTTCACCAGGAAACTTCACTATCAATGTTCAGACCATGCATTGTATGATATTTTAATTTGTATCTTTAGCAGACCATGAAGCTTGTTATCCAGTGAAAATCTCTATTGTAAATGAAGTTTTGAAACAACCTCCCTAAGGCAGAAGATGGGTACTCCCATGTGCCAGCTTGGCGCTCGAGAGCGCTGTTCACTGCCCTGCTCGCTGTTCTAGCCCCAGTGACACAGGTGTCAGTCGCGTGTGTGAGGCGCTCTGAGCCTCTCCCTGCCGTTGGGCTGTGTGCCATCCCTGAGGAGGAAGGGCTCTGTGCCTGGGAAGTGGGGTGTCCAGGGCCAGCTGAGGGGATCTCCACACACTACCCAGAAACAATGGTGACTGTCCTGCTTCTAAGATGACCCTGGCTCTGAGCTGCACTCCTTTGGCTCAGACGTGTCATGAGACTTCCCTTTAGAGGCGGGTTCTCGTAGGTCACCTGTGGCCTCCGGGTGCCCAGTGGCACCGTATATGATGGTTCCATTTCTTTCAGAGCAAGAAATGTGGCTTCAGTAATAGACTGAACTCATGGCAGGGACAGCAGCAGACAATGAAGTGACAGTGGAAGCAGCCTTTCTTAAATCTGAACATACTCCCCAGTGCCAGATTGCTTTGAATTAGAAAAACATTAAGCTTCGGGAAAGTAGGCCAACAGGCACATAAAAGAAGCCATGCGTTCAGTCTTCACACTCCTGCTGCTCTGCCATCACATAAAGTTCACCTGCAGGCCAGGGTGATCAACACAGCATGACACGCCTTGAACCATGGAGACTGGTGCTGGGAATTAACGTTTCTACAAAACTGAGAAACTAACCTTTAACAAAGTCTGTAGTCTTATTTCTCTTACTTGGACATTTGACAGCAATTTACAGTGTTACGAAACATTCCTTAATATTTTAAAGCAGCCTGATAATTTTTACTTTCTGCTGTTTATTCATCGGAGAAACTTTGTAATCGACTTCAATGAACTTTTGTATTAATACAGTAGTTAGTATGTATGTAAAATCACTCAATGTAGGTTCCTGAGCTGACAGTAGAGCTAGGGATTATTAAATACAGTGAGTACAGTGTATTCCTCTCACAAGACATGGAGCCCTCACCAGGGCATCTGAAAGGCCACCCCAAGTCCACATGCTTTTCTCTGAAATAGTTCTAAAAGCAACCAAAAATTATAACCTCAAGAAACCATAACATTTGGAGTGCCTTAATTTTTAACCAGTTTCCAGTAAATGAATTAATACATGCTTTTGCTGAATACTCTGTTCCTTGTGTTTCATTTCTTAGCGGTATTAATATGGCTACAGATTCTCCTCGACTGACAATGGGGTTACATCTTGATAAACCCATTCATTCTAAGTTGAAAATGCGTGTGATATGCCCACCTAACAGACCCAGCATTAGAGCTCAGACAAGTTCACCACAACATGCTCAGCAACTCACTTGAGCTTGCAGTTGGACAGAACTGTTTCACAGGGAAGACAGACATGTAGGTGTCAATTGTTTTGACCCCTGTGATCACGTGGCTGACTGGGAGCTGCATCTCACCCCTGCCCAGCATCACAAGAGGGTCACACTGTGTATACTACCCAGGAAAAGACCAGAATTCAAAATGCAAAGTAGTTTCTGCTGAATGTTTCACTTTTGCATCATAGTAAACTTGAAAAATCCTAAGTCAAAGAACCATCATAAGTTGGGGACTGTCTGAACTTGAGAGTGAGGGCAGTTAGACTTTCTAGATACAGACAGACTTCTGAACCCGTCTCGTGATGTGTGAGCACTCTCAGCTTTAATACCCTGGCTGACGGGGAATGACCATACTGTGCCCTGAAACTCCCCGTGCCCTTGCCTTCAGCCCCTGCCCAGCCAACTGTTAGCTCTCTAGTCAGTGCACCACCCCCAACCCAGGCTTCCCTACTACTTAGCTGGGATCAGATAGAGAGAACCCCAGGAGAAAGCAGTTCTGCCTTTGAGTGTTGCGTCCTTGGCTGCCGTTTGAAACACATAACTACCAACAGGCACTCAGACTCCACCCCTCTCTTTTGGGGGTTCTTAAATGCCTGGTTCACGGAGAGCCCCCCGTCCCTCCCTGAGTTGCTGCTGAGCCATTTTTCCATTGCGTCCGTCACTGGGACTTTGGGGCTCCCTCTGTGTTGAGTTTGTGTCTGCAGGTAGTCGTCAGTCCCGTGGGAGTGTGAGCCTGCCCCCCTGGACCCAGCTGAACTCTACTCACTTCCAGGGGAAAGTCCACGGGCAGGTCAACTCCAGCTCCTTCGCTCTGAAATGTCCAGAGGTCACTGGCCTATATCTAGAATGTGGGAGGCAGGAGGCCATGTCTCCACCCCCAGGTGTGGTCACAGGGTGGCCTTGGGCCTGGTGAGTCCTAGAGTCTCCAGTCTGCGTGGGAAGCTTACATCAACCTTGGCCTCATTTAAGAAGATGGATGGTGGTGAGACCTGTTTAGAAAGATAAGGACAGGAAGTGAAATGCTTCGTCATAGTGCCTGCTCTTCAGGAAAAATCACTGCCAGTTAAAAGGTGAAAATTTGGCCGAAACCGGTTTGGCTCAGTGGATAGAGCGCCGGCTTGCGGACTAAGGGGTCCCACGTTCGGTTCTGGTCAAGGGCGTGTGCCTGGGTTGCGGGCACATCCCCAGTGGGAGATGTGCGGGAGGCAGCGGATCGATGTTTCTCTCTCATCGATGTTTCTAACTATCTCTCTCCCTTCCTCTCTGTAAAAAATCAATAAAATATATATTTTTTAAAAAAAGGTGAAAATTTGGATGGGAAAACAGTGGCCGTGTCCCCATCACCTGGCTCTGGGCATCCTAGAGCTGGTCCGTGTCGCAGGGCTCCATGCACGTGGCCACTCCCTCCCAGGCGGTTTTGCAGCACCCGTTCTGTCCCCTTTGGGGTACCTGTGTTCCCAAGGCAAGTCTGTCTGTGCTGCTTTGGCATGAGATGTGAGTGAACCGTGGGGTCAGTTCCTAGAAGTAGAATTCTGGATCAGAGTGTTCATGGTGCTTATTTTAAGTGTTGGTAGAATTCTGCCAAAGTGCCCACCTCTCTTGAAGGGGTCTGTAACGCTTTGCAAGATGGGTGCAGGTAAGTAGCCCCAAACCAGAGCCTCATCTGGAAGTCGGTTCTCTGGGTAGACAGGAGCGCAGGCCCTGCATGTGTGTGTGTTTTTGGTACAGTAGACAGTACAGGTGGATGCTGGCCTGGGGCATCATTAAGAGCCCTAGGGCCACGGCGGCTGAGAGAAGCAGGCCCGGCCGCCTGTGGGACAGGCAGGGAGAGCAGGCACAGCCGTCCAGGGAAACCTGAGTTTGAGGAACTCCATCTTGTCAGTGCTTCGGCAAGGTAGTGCTGTCAGTTTCTGAGAAATGAGAGCAGGAAGGAGGCAGGACGAGCCCTGGACCTGCCACTGTGAGTGGTCCCGAGGCTCCCCAATCTCCCCACTCTCCATTCTAGGCCCCCTCTCCACAGCACCCCTACGGGTCCGGCTGCTCCCTGCAGTGGTGTTGTGCAGGTCCCAGGGACCATGCCCTGGCCAGACAGTGGCTGATTCAGTGGTCATTTGTGCTCACTCTACCAGGAAGCACAACAGCTGGCCCCTGAGTCCCCAGACAGACTCACTGCAGCCTGATGGTTAGCAGAAACCCGCATGCCTCACGGTTGGCATTGCCACTACTGAACTTTCTCGGCCCACATGTCCACTTGGAGGAACCGAAGGACCCAGCACCAGTCACCTCTTTGGGGAATGGGGACCTTACTGTGTCCCTTGGTACAGGTGCCCGGCCAAGCCTGAGAGGGCACCAGAGGCACCAACTCCCAGGTGGGCCGCTGGGAGGGGCTGAGTGGGCAGTCCACCCCTTGGGGCTGGGTGTCCGCTGGGCTCTTCACGTCCTGTGTCCCCAGCCAGCAGGTGGGGAGGACAGTGGGGAAGTGACCACTTGATTCCATTGGCAGGAGTGCACTCCTGGCTGGGCAGCCACCTGCCTCACCAGGGCCACATCAGGAGCACATCTAGCTGTCGGGAACTGCGTCCACATGAGATGGTTCCATTCTACCAGCACCCCCACTTCCTCGGTAAAGCTGGTTACAGAGGCCCCAGTGTGTCCTTCCCTGCACAGAGAGGCCAACTAGCCAGTTCAGTGGAGACTTGCTTGGCTTGATGGGTTTTCTCTCCAGAGCTGAAGAGCATCATTAATCCACAGTTGGTTCTAAAGCCTGAATACTAAGAATAATTCCTAACTACAGGTAAATCACCAAATACAGTCAACATAACATTCTTGAGTTCTCTAAGCTTAGGGGGAGGGGTGCTGAGTCCACAAAATGAATTTTCTTTGATAGTGGGAGTTGACTTGGGGTGAACTTGGGGTGCTGGCCTGGCAAGAAGCCTTACACTTTTACTAACGTTTCCAAGAGAATGCTGTTCACCAGCGGCTCGTGATGATGGATGGGTGGTGAGCCCTGTCCCTGTCCCTGTCCTCTGCCCCCTGCTGGCCTCTGGACCATGGTGAGCCCTGTCCCTCTCTGAGGATCCCCACCAGCTGGCTGGCCTTCCTTGACACTAACTCTCAGCCATCACTAACACTGTCTCCGGCACTGCCCATCTCAGGGCTTAGCCTTGCGCCCTGTGTTTTGTATGTGTTTGTTCCTCTTGTCTACTTTACAAGGGGTCACATTTGGTTAAGTTGATGAGTATGTCAGACAGGGTGACGTGTGCCGTTTTCTTCCTGCCTCATGATTTCCAACTTTGTATCCCAAGTAACAGAGTTGCCGTTTTTGTTTTTACAAAATCCAGTTACTCAGTCTCAGGGACTCATGTTCAGAGGTCACAGCAGGGAGGGTGTGGCCCCCGTGTCAGCTCAGGAGTCGGGGCTCTCAGCCGAGGGGCAGCACCAGTTTCTCTGATTGGAACCTAAGCTGGAGAGTCGTTAACTCGGCATGAGGAGTCAATATAAACAGTAGTTAACCCAGTGTCAAGAATTGTTAACCAGGCATAATGAATAGTTAACTTGTATAAAGAATATTTAACTAGGTATAAAAATAGTTAACCAGGCACAAAGAATAGTTAGCCAGCCCAGCTAGCCTGGCTCAGTGGTTGAGCATCGACCTATGAACCAGGAGGTCACGGTTCGATTCCCAGTCAGGCCACATGCTTGGGTTTCGGGCTCAATCCCCAGTAGGGAGCATACAGGAGGCAGCCAATCAATGATTCTCTCTCATCATTGATGTTTCCATCTCTCGCTCCCTCTCCCTTCCTCCCTGAGCTCAATAAAAATATATTAACAAAAAAGAATAGCCCGCTTGCCACAGAGGGTTGCTAACTGGGAGACTGATGGGCAGTGGGCATGCAGAGGCAAGCTGGCACCTGGGAGGAGGTTGGATGATTCACACGCTGGCCCCAAGCAGGAGGCACCGCTGTCCTGAGCTTGCTTGAAAGCCTTCCCCTCCACCCCCAACCCCCAGAATGAGTTCGGAAAGGAAACCAGTGGGTGGGAGCATGCAGCTTGCTCAGGAGATCTGAGCCCAAGTCCCAAGAAGGTTGCCAGGGTGTGCCCTTCCCCAGGTGGACACTAACAAGGGAGGAAGGGAGGGCAGGGAGAGGTGGAGCCAGCCCATGTCACACCTGCATGCTTGGCCACAGGGCAGGGACAGGCAACTGAATTCCAAGTGTTCAGACACCGAAATCAGAGGACACCAGGAGCTCGTGCTGTGCTCTGAAAATGTGGTGGTGGGTTCTAGGATCAGAGCCAGCAGGCCTGGGACTGTCAGGGGCTGCAGGTGGCCCACGCCCTCACCTTCCTCTCTTCCCTGGCCAGGGCTCCAAGGCTCCCAGGTGACAGTGACTCCACACTCCTCCTCCACCAACTTCTCCCTGATCCCATAGGACTCTCACCATGACCAGCCCAAGCCAGATCCTGTCACCAAGCCCTACTGTCTGCAGAGCACTGTAGCATCCCCGCACTGCCCTGACCAGGTCCACGCCATATCCTTCTGCTCCACTGGGGCACGGCTGGCACCACTGCTCTCCCTGCAGACTCTTCTCCTCCCTGGCCTGAGGGACCCTTTAAATATGATTGC